GGAGGCTGAGGCAGAAGAATTGCTTGAACCTGGGAGGCAGAGGTTGTAGTGAGCAGAGATTGTGTCACTGCACTCCAGCCTGGGCAACAGAGCAAGACTGTCTCAAAAACAAACAACAAACACACACAAACAAAAAAACTGGCCAAAAAGATATGATCTGACCTATCTTGTTTGACTGTATACGTCATGAGACCCCATTCTAGAGAGGGTCTTGCCCCATTACCCAGAAGAGAAAAGAGGCTGCACAGAAGCCAGGAAGAATCTGAACACCAGTCAGGCCTTGCTGGGTTTTCCCAGTCTGCTCTTTTTAAAAGATAAAACACAAAGTCAGATTGATTGGAGTTGTCCACAGTCAGCAATGGTGATCTTCTTGCTGGTCTTGTTATTTCTGGACCTGGAGCACGCCTGGACTTCCACAGTGTTCGTGCCTTCTTTCACCTTGCCAAAGACCACACGCTCGCCATGCAAGCAGTCAGTGTTGGCAGTGCAGATGCAAAACTGGGAACCGTTTGTGCTGGGTCCAGCATTTGCCATGGACAACATGCCCGGACCTGTATGCTTCAGGCTGAAGTTTTCATCATCACATTTCTCCCTGTAGATGGACTTGCCACCAGTGCCATTATGGCGTGTGAAGTCACCACCCTAACACAGGAACCCTGGAATAATTCTGTGAAAGCAGGAACTCTTAATGACAAAATCCTTTCTCTCCGTGGTCAGAGCACAGAAGTGTTCTGCTGTCTTTGGAATCTTGTCTTCAAACAGCTTGAAGGGCTGTGATGGCCGCAGGGCTTGCCACTGATGGTCGTGTTGAAGAACCTGGTGGGACTGACCATGGTGGGTAGCAGGGGGCTGGGGGACGGGACATCCGTCAGCATCTGCGAAGCCCCAGTCAGTTCTGCTAGCATAAGGGCAGACACCTTTGTCCAATTGTATTTCTACACTTCTGTCCATACTTTGTTGAACCTAAGCATAAAAACAGACAGTTTTCCCTGTATCTTTGAGTCTTCACTCTGTGGGCTTCCATGTCACGAGAAAACTGTGATCAAATAAATCTGTAAATTTGTATATCTTTCTCCTATCAATCTGCCTTTTGTCAGTGATTCTCAGCCCCTACAATAATAACTACTAAAAGGGCAGAAATGAAAGTGTTATCCAGAAGTTTTCACAGCATTTTTTTTAAGAGTCTGCTCTGCAGCTGGTTCGTCCTATTTTTAGCAAATTCTATTTAAAAGAAAAATCAGCATTTATAAAACAGCCACATTTGAGGGGTGATTACTGCTTTTTTTGAAAATGATTCACTATAGCACATTTCCCTGGTGCATTACAATTTCATTATTTTTTAAATTTCAAAAGCAGTCCATGCTATTGGAAAACATGCAGATGACACAGGAAGTGTGTAAGTGAAAGTGAGGGGCCACCCTTTAGCGCTCGTCTGCTTTCGCTCTCTGGAGTGAGCTTGATAATAATTTGGGGAGCATTCTTCTGAGACCCTTTTCTAAGTGCCACTCACTGATATAGTTTTATGTCTCATTTACATTCAGTTCTGCCTAAAAATGATAATCAGAACAATGTATCTTGTTTTATGACATGGTGTCTTTTTTTCCTGCCTATTACATTCTTTTCATAGTAAACTTTAAAGTCTTATTTACTTTTTTTTTTTTCTTGAGACAGCATTTTGCTTGTTGCCCAGGCTGGAGTGCAGTGGTGCCATCTCGGCTCACCGCAACCTCCGCCTCCTGGGTTCAAGCGATTATCTTGCCTCAGCCCCCCCAGTAGCTGGGACTACAGGCATGTGCCACCCCGCCCAGCTAATTTTGCATTTTTAGTGGAGACAAGATTTCTCCATGTTGGTCAGGCTGGTCTCAAACTCCCGACCTCAGGTGATCCGCCTGCCTTGGCCTCCCAAAGTGCTGGGATTACAGGTGTGAGCCACCACACTCAGCCGTTTTTAACTAAACTTTTTATTTAAAAGTAAATGTAGATTCACATACGCTTGTAAGAAATAATACAAATCCTGTGTACACTTTCTTCCAATGATAACACCTTGCAAAACTGTAATATTACAACCAGGATGTTGATATTTATGAACAATCCAGGGATCTTTTTCAGATTTTCCCATTTTACTTGTTCTTGTGTGCGAGTGTGTGTGTGTGTGTGTGTGTGTGTGTGTGTGTGTGTGTTTATTTTTGGTTTTGAGACAGGGTCTCGCTCTGCCGCCCAGGCTAGTGGGCAGTAGCAGTGCAGGCTCTCGTGATCTTCTCACCTCAGCCTCTCACCTAGCTGGAACTGCAAGTGTGAGCCACCATGCCTGGCTAATTTTTTTTTGGTAGAGACTAGGTCTTCCTAAGTTGCCCTGCTGGTCTCCAACTCCTTGGCTCAAGCAATCCTCCTGCCTTGGCGTTCCAAAGTGTTGGGATTACAGGCGTGAGTCAGAGTGCACAGCCAAGTTCTACACAATTTTATCATGTTTAGTTTGTGTTCCCACCACCACAGGCAAGATACAAAATGGTTCTTCATCATTCTCCCGTTGCATTTTAAATAAAATGATTTGCCGTGTTCAATACCATATATTTCTCCAGGTGAGGTACACAGGTGACAGGCTCCAAAAGGCCACTTTTAATCATTACAATAGTACTGCCCAAGAAAACCCAAGAGCCACAAATGAAAGTTGCCTATGGCCGGGTGCGGTGGCTCACGCCTGTAATCCCAGCACTTTGGGAGGCCAAGGCGGGTGGATCATGAGGTCAGGAGATGGAGACCATCCTGGCCAACATGGTGAAACCCCGTCACTACTAAAATACAAAAAATTAGCCAGGCGTGGTGGCACATGCCTGTAGTGCCAGCTACTCAGGAGGCTGAGGGAAGGGAATCGCTTGAACCTAGGAGACAGAGGCTGCAGTTAGCAGAGATCGTACCACTCCAGCCCGGCAACAGAGCAAGACTCTGTCTCAAAAACAAACAAAAAACCCCAAAAAACAAAAAACAAACAAACAAAAGTTGCCTATGAAATTAGACATTTCCCAGGAGCCAAAGGTAAAAGAGGCCAATTTAAATAATATATTTCAGAAAACCCAATATATCCAAATATCCTCATTTCAACATGTAGTCACTATAAAAAGTATGAATGATTTGTTACTTTTCTCATACAGTCTTTGCAATCCAGTGAGCCTGCTCCTCTGCCATCTGTTAGCATGGATTGAGCACCTACTATGTGCCTGACTCCATTCCAGGCCTGGGACACAGACCAGTTCCTGCCCTTTGAGAACACAGGCAAATGGAGGGGACAAGCACAGTTCCAGAACACAAGACAGGCCATGGTAGAAGCATGCACATCGGGCTGGGAACACCTGGTTAGTAGGGAAGGCTCCGTGGGGGCTTGGCCTCAAAGCCCAGTGGCAGCAGGGGGACCGGCCAGAGGGAGCCCCAAGTGTCTGTGTGGGAGCCCTCAAGAGGAGAGGCACTTTGGAGGGAAGGCCCAGTGTGGTTTGGGGACATACAGCAAAAGATGGCCCCTCCTCAAAGTGAATGGACGCTGGACTCTGGGGTGCAGGGCAGGATTCTGGGCTTGCTGTTGAAGTTTTCTTGGAGGTTGATGTCACTGGAGGTGTGGAGATGACTCAGGCCAGAAAGTGCGTGGGAAGCATGGAGAGTGGGGTACAGAGTCCACCACGTGGACAGCCAACATCAGGGGGATGCCCAAGGGAGAAAGAAAAACCAGGGACCACCTGAGGAGGCCAGGCAGGAGTGCAGGGATCTTGGAGGCAGGCCCCCAGCCCAGTGGAGCCACCCCAGCCCCTTCTGTTCTGAGGTTACAACAGGTGATGGCTCGGTGGGGCTGCAATGAGAAGTGGCATGCAGGGAGGGCCAGGGGAGGAGAGACATGCTGTGGGTCCCAGGTTCAGATCCCAGGTCTGAATTGGAAGGGCCCTGTCTGTGTTGAAGTTCAAGACCTACCACTTTTGTTCCCAGGCCTCTCAGTTCTTCCTTACTTTTTTGCAATTTCATTTTTGATAATTTCAGTTTCCTAAATGTACACATCTGACTTCATTTTCACTCACATCTCACCCTCGTGCCTCCACCAGCCCCTTCTCACTATTACACACCCAGGAGACACAGGAGGTATAAGGAAGGTCTGGAGCCCCAAGAGCCAGGAGCCTCAGGAGTCAGGTGTCCAGAGAGCCAGGAACCCTGACACCTAGGATCCCCAACACCCAGGGGCCCTGACAGCCAGGAACCCCAACAGTCAGAAGCCTCTACCACCAGGAACCTCGATACCCAGGGTCCCCTACAGCCAGGAATCTCAACACCCAGGGGCCCCTACTATATCCAGGAACACTGATACCCAGGAGCCCCTACTATAGCCAGGAACCGTGACACTCAGGAGTCTCTTGTATAACCAGGAACCCCGACCCCCAGGAGTCTCTAGTATAGCCAGGAACCCCGACCCCCAGGAGTCTCTAGTATAGCCAGGAACCCCGACCCCCAGGAGTCTCTTGTATAGCCAGGAACCCCGACCCCCAGGAGTCCCTAGTATAGCCAGGAACCCCGACCCCCAGGAGTCTCTAGTATAGCCAGGAACCCCGACCCCCAGGAGTCCCTAGTATAGCCAGGAACCCCGACACCCAGGAGTCCCTAGTATAGCCAGGAACCCCGACACCCAGGAGCCCCTACAGCCAGGAATCTCAATACCCAGGGGCCCCTACAGCCAGGAGCCAATACAGCCAGGAACCTCCACAGCCAGGGGCCTTGACGGCCTGAAGTCACTACAGCCAGGAACCCTGACAGCCAGGAGCCACTAGAGCCAGGGAGCCACGACAGCCAGGAACCGCGGGAGCCAGGAGGCCCGCAGCGGAGTGCGCAGACCTGGCAGGGTCAGAGCCGCCCGGCGGCCCGCAGCGTCCGCCGCCACTTCTGGGATTTCCCAGGCGCTGCAGCGGTCGGGGCACACAGGGGCGGGACTATGCCCCGCGCAGCCGTTCCGCGCTCCGCTGCCCCGCCCACATCCGGCCGCGGGCACTCGATTGCTCCTGTCTGGTGGCGGCAGCATGGCGGCGGGGGCGGCTGAGGCGGCTGCAGCGGCCGTGGAGGAGGTCGGCTCCGTCGGGCAGTTTGAGGAGCTGCTGCGCCTCAAAGCCAAGTAAGCGGGGAGGCGAGCGGCAGCAGTGAGGCGTCGGGGCAGGCGTGGCCGCGGGACCGGGCCGGCGTGGGACGGCGGGCCGCCCAGCCCGGCTCCTTGGCGCCCGGCTCGCTTCGGCCTCGGGGGACCGGGCCCGGCGCCGCCCGTGGACTCCCCCGAGCCTCAGGCGCTGACTGGCCGGAGCCGCGGGCTTCCCGCCCCGGGACAGCGAGCAGGGCGCGGGGTTCGCCCCGCAGCCCCAGCCCCAGCCGGCCCGACGCCGGCGACGGCTGTCCAAGCCCGAGGGACGCGACCTTCCCGGCCCCTGGCCTGGGCGGCCCGGCGGGGGACGCAGGCGGTGACTCAGCTGCGCCGCGGGGCGGGGCGGGGTACGGGGCGGCGCCGAGACCCCGGCCCTCCTGCTGGACCCCCGCCAGGGAGCGGGGAGCCACGGCTGCGGGCTCCGCCTTTCCTGCGCCCGCCGGGAGGGTGCTGCAGGCTCGGCGTCGGCCCCTTCCACGTCGCCTCCCTCCAGGAACGCCCCTGTGGCGGGAAGAGCGACTGGGGAGCCCCGCGGCGCTCGCTGGGCCTGGCCGGCTTTTGAAGTCGCCTTTAAAGTTTGCTGGTCAGCAGGTAGAGCCAGTGTTCAGACGGAACCTGTTGCCGGAGACAGAGTTCCTGTTCGCTGAACTGCCTTAGTGAGAGTCCGTTCAGGTTTGGCACCGGTGTCAAGCCTGCAAGCCTTGGGGACACCACAGGAGATCCACGGGAAGGCAGAGGACATGTTTTCGGGGTGTGCTAGAAGCTCTGAACTGCAAACATGCTGACGAGTCGGTGCTGCTGCAGGGAAAGGTCTGCACGTGGACTCTCCGTGGTAATTAATACCACCACATTGTAGACCACTCCGAGGACTGACTTGTTCCCTCAGTTGTATTCGTGTTTTTTTTTTTGTTGACTATTACAAAAGTTTATTTGACAAAAAAGTCTAATATGAAAATGTACATAACCTAATTTTTACATCATAGTAAAACAGGCCCTGTGGAGAGAGGACATGGGCTTCCCCGCTGAACAGCCGTTATTTATACTCGTTCCAAGGCTTTTAATATGATGATACTATTTCCTCGTTTTACCACCATTCCAATATTGTTCTGTTGTCCGCTAGTCGCCATCTCCACACATTCATCGATCACAAGATTCATAAAGGGATCAAATCCCCGCAATATTCCTTGAACATGTCTGCCACCATTTAATTTCAATGATAACTTCTTGTCCATACATTTTTTCAACTCGGGAGGGTGAGCTTTGCTCATGATGGCTACTCCTCGGGCACACACCATATTAGTGGCTTTTAAGGGAACGCTTAACGTTGGATTGCCTGGGATCCAGTCCTAACCCAGCCACTCACTAGCCGTGTAACCCCTGGGCACGTTTCATACCCAAGCCTCAGTTTCTCAGCGGTGAAATAGATTAGCGCCTATTAGTACCCCAGGGTGGTTGTGACGGTTAAATGAGATGATACACGTAAAATGTTATTAATACAATGCCTAGTATGCAGGAAACACTCAATAGATGTTGGCCCTTAGTTATTTCAGTAGGGAGCAGAGTGGTTCATGGAATTCACAGGCAAAAAATGGTCTGGCTCTGTCACCCAGGCGCGATCACGGCTCACTGTAGCTTCTGCCTCCCGGGCTCAAGTGATCCCACCCATCTCCTCCTCCCATCTCAGCCTCCTGAGTAGCTGGGACCACACGGCTTTCACCACTACGGTTTTTTTTTTTTTTTTTTTTTTTTTTTTTTTTGACGCCGAGTCTCGCTTTGTTTCCCAGGCTGGTGTGCAATGGCGCAATATCAGCTCACGCAACCTCTGTTTCCCTGGCTCGAGCAGTTCTGCCTCAGACTCTCAGGTAGCAGGGATTACAGGCGCCCACCACCACACCCGGCTAATTTTTTGTATTTTTAGTAGACTGGGTTTTACCATTTTGGCCAGGCATGTCTCGAACTCCTGAACCTCAAGTGATCCGCCCACCTCAGCTTCCCAGAGTGCTGGATTATAGGTGAGAACCACCGTGCCTGTCCAATTTTTATATTTTTTTGTAGAGACGAGGTCTCGCCATGTTGCCCACGCTGGTCTCGAACTTCTGGACTCAAGCGATTTGCCTTCTTCAGCCTCCAAAGTGTTGGGATTACAGGCATGAGCCACCGCGCCCATCCAAAAATACTTATTGATGTAAATTTTGTTTTGTTTTGTTTTGGAGACAGGCTATTGCTCTGTTGCCCAGGCTGGAGTGCAGTGGTGTGATCTTGGCTCACTGCAGCCTCGACCGCCCAGGTTCAAGCGATCCTCTAACCTCAGCCTCCTGAGTACCTGGGACTATATGTGCCGACACCATGCTGGGCTAATTTGTGTATTTTTTGTAGAGAGGAGGTTTCCTTCTGTTGCCCAGGCTGGTCTTTGGAACACCTCAACTCAAGTGATCTACCTACCTTGGCCTTGTAAAGTATTGGTATTAAAGGCTTGAGCCCCTAGACTGGCCCTGTTGATCTAAATTGAGTGAAATTTTGCTGACTGAATTTGAATTAGAGACAGGTAGTACTATGATTTTGTCATGGGGAGTGCAGGTGAGATGGGGGTGTTGCCTTTGGAAATGGGGAGGAGTGAGAGTTACTAATGCTTAGAAATGCTTTACTAATGGTTAGAAATGCTTTATGGGGGTGATGAAATTAAAAGTGTTATTTAAAACTGTGCTTTAGGCATTTCACGTTTACCTGAGAAATTGTTAAAAAAAAAAAAGCAGGGGTTGGGGGGAACACTTAAAGTTTACTCACTGATGGAAGCTGAGTTCTTAATCATCCAGTACAGGTCAGCACAAGTCACAGGAGTCACCAGAAGTGGCCTCTTGAAGTAAGCAGCTCTTGTGTGGACCTGCCCTAAATAAACGTTTTGAATTTACATCACCTGAAAAGACTGTTTTGTGGGTGTGTGTTTTATGTTTGTTTTTATGCTTCATTTTTTAAAAAGTCCTTAAACTATCAAAATGGATAAAAGTTTTTTTTTTTTTTTCTTTTTTCTTGAGATGGTGTCTTGCTCTGTCCCCCAGGCAGGAGTGCAATAGCAGCCTGTGCCTCCCAGGCTCAAGCACTTCTCCTGCCTTAGCTCCCGAGTAGCTGGGATTACAGGTGCCCGCCATAATAGCTGGCTAATTTTTGTATTTTCAGTAGAGATGGGGTTTCACCGTGTTGGCCAGGCTGGTCTAGAACTACTGACGTAAGGTGATCCGCCTGCCTCAGCCTTCCAATGTGCTGGGATTACAGGCGTGAGCCACTGCATGTGGCCAAAATGGATAAAAGTTTAAATGTAAACACCATTTGGATGTACCCTTGCCACTGGCCTGTGCTTGAAATGACCTAGAAAATAATGTACACTTTCCTTAGTGACTAGTTTAAATGGACACATGGGAAATGATGTGTGGCATCTGGGGAAGGAGCAAGTCTCTGCAGCTTTTTTGGTGAAGATGCAAACATTTAACAATATTGTGGTGGCTACACCAGCAATCCCAGCAGTTTGGGAGGATGGGTTGAGGCCAGGAGTTTGAGACCAGCATGGGCCACATAGTGAGACCTCAGCTTTCCAAAAAAATTAAAAAAAGTAGCCAGGCATGGTGATGCGTACCTGTAGTCCCAGCTACTCATGAGGCTGAGGTGGGAGGATTGTTTGAGCCCAGGAGTTCCAGGCTTTGGTGAGCTGTGATCCTGCCATTGCACTCTAGCCTGGGTGGCAGAGTGAGACCCTGTCTCAAAAAACAAACACAAAGTGCCCGCATTTTACTACTTATGTGGCTGTAATAATTTTAAATCTACTTTCCAAATCTTTGCTTCTTGAATTTTAAAATGTGACATGCATTGAAATTTTTTTTTTAAGTAATTGAGCCAGATATTTACATAAGTTGCTGAAATCTCAGCTGGTCTATACTGTGGGGTTATTAATATCCATTTGCAGAGTAATTAAGCAGGTTTGCTTAGTATATGATATGTTTAATAAGTAGTAGCTGGTATTATCTGCAGATGAATAACTGAAGTAGTAGAATACTATAATAATTGAAAAACAACTACTTACTGATGAAGAGCTGAAGTTTATTACGTTGTATAAAATTACATTAGTCAGGATTTGAATGGTTTTTGTCTGATGCATTTTTTCAACAATGCAGGCATACTGGGCTATCCATGAAGAGGGAAAGAACACTGTTACATGTAATCCAAAAGATTATATTTGTTTCAGATAGAGTATGTCCTTATAATATTGGACATTATGTGGTTAATTAAGAAATGAAAGTTAAGCATCTAAATAGGAGAATATTGTGAATAATTTCAACTAACTGCTAACATTATACCATGTTTTAATGTTTTCAAACGTTTTTGTTTCTTCTTTTCAACATCGCAGGGTGCTGGGTATTGCTGTTTTACAGATGTGGAAGTTATTACTCTTCAAAGCCATGTTTGTAATTGTGAAAATGAAACTTGAATTCAGGTTTTTTTTTTTTTTTTTTTTTTTTTTTTTGGGAGTCTCCCTCTTTCCCCCACGCTGTAGTGCAGTGACATGATCTCGGCTTACTGCAGCCTTCGCTTCCCAGGTTCAAACGATTCTTCTGCCTCAGCCTCCTGAGTAGCTGGGACTACAGGCACGCATCTGGCTAATTTTTGTGTTTTTAGTAGAGATGGGATTTCACCATATTGGCCAGGCTGGTCTTGAACTCCTGACCTCATGATCTACCCAGCCTTGGCCTCCCAAAGTGCAGGGATTACAGGTGTGAGCCACCACACTGGGCCAAATTCAGGTTTTTTTTTTTTTTTTAAGATGAGGTTTCACCATGTTGATCAGGCTGGTCTTGAACTCCCGACCTCAGGTGATCCACCCGCCTTGGCCTCCAAAGTGCTTGGATTACAGGTGTGAGCCACCAAGCCCAGCCTAAATTCAGGTTTTATGGCATACTTTCTTCTTCTCTGTTTTACTTTTTGGGTTCATA